TTTTTCCCCTTCCCCTCCACAAATTATACTGACATTAAATACAGTGAAAGCACAGGTAATACTGTGGGGGAGGGACATACAAAGCAACAAAGAAATTATCTTATAAATGCGTTAGAAACAATCTCATGAAAGAGTGACTATTTCTTTTATTGGGTCATATTTTATTTAGATTTAAAAAGAAAACGGCAAACATTGGAATAGATAAAATCAGTGTTTAGTGTAGAAAGTGTCAGCCTCACCTGGTTAGCAGATTACTCAAAAATCAAGGACTATAGATAAGAAATACATAATCCTTGATGAGTTTCTTTGACATATTTTAGATATTTATATGCCTTTGTACCTTTGTTTCATTTAAAATTATGTATCTACATTAATGAGTAACTACATAAATATGATTCTTGTGTGTGTTGGAACTAGAGCTTGAACTCTTGCACTCTTGTTTGGCTTTTTTTGCTCAGCTTTTTTTGCTCAAGGATTGCTCTATACCACATGAGCTATACCTTCACTTCTGGCTTTTTGTTGGTTAATTGGAGTTAAGTATCTCTTGAATTTGTCTGCCTGAGCTGGATTCAAACCAAGATCAATAGATCTCAGCCTCTTGAGTAGTTAAGATTTCAAGTGTGAGCCACCAGTGCCCAGCTAAATACATACTCTTTTTAGTGAATACTGGCATTATTGCTCTTAGAAGGACATCAGTCAGTGCTTCTGAAGAAGACTGGCATTCATTCATAGTCTCTATTCAGATAGTCAAGGGTAGGATGTAACTATTTGGAGTCAGTTTTCAGTTTGTAAATGTTGTCATTTATAAAGTGAGAATAATAATTTGTACTTGCTTCCTGCTCTTATTGTAAGTCTTAACTGAAGCACTGCACAGAGTGCATTAGTAATTATTAAGCATGTATTATTAGCCACATACATAATAAATATTACAATGTAATATCTGTATTGTTATTGTTATATCAATACTTAATATTGTTGTTCTATTTTATGTATATGTGAATGTATCTGTGGTATATTTCAAAATATTTAAATACATACCATCTGTAGTTTTTCTGTGGTGGAAGAACAATGCTTTACGTCAGAATGACAGCAAAAAGCTGTCTAATCAACAAACTCAATACAATTTAATAATTCAAAAATATAAAGCTGTTAGGCTAAAAAATATATAGGACATAAGTTTAACTCTTTGTTTTACCTATAGCTGTTAAAAAACAAGATTGTTGAACTTTTTTACCTATAGCTGTTAAAAAACAAGATTGTTGAACTGTCCCTCAAAGATGAGGAACAAGAGAAACATTTTGAACTCTCAAAATTATTTGCTTCTGCTTCTAATATATAAGCACATTGTCTCAGAACTTCCCCTATCCATCATTCAGCTCTCAGTTTAAACTTGACTTCTTCAGGGAAGCCTTCTCTGGGCCTCCCCCAGTCCTAGACTAGGTTACTCCTCTGCATTTTTCTTTATATACATCACACTTGGAATTACTTGTGCTATGTCTGTCTTATGTAAAATCAAGCCTATAGATATCCCCTGATATGTAAGGCTATTTTACAAAGCCAACAAGCATGTAGTGAATTAGAATCTACATGTTTTAAAGTATAATCTTACCTTATACCAGCAAAAGGACCAGTTTGGAATAGTCTTACTATTTTTTCCCTTGTTAATGTATGTCTTAAACATCTAGGGTTTGCAGTGGCTTATGTCCCATTGAAACAGGAAAAAAATCTGTGAAGAATGAGTTGCTTTGATATTATTAAAGTAAAACTTTTGTATGGTCTCATGATCCTCTTAACTATGATAGCAGTCATCTCATTTTACTCACAAAACCACTTGTGTTTGAACAACTTGTCCAAGATTTTATAGCAGTGCAAGTTTTAAATCCAGTTATATCTGCCTTTAGTGTCCATTTGAAACTAGGAAATAATTGTGAACTCCTCCTAGATTTACTCTGTAAGGAGTTACCGATAACATGTAAAATTTTAATAATTATATCTTTGGGTAGTTTTGTCTGTTGTTTAATATAGTTTTCTTTCTTAAATTGCAACTTCAAATACAGTCCAATATTGGATATAAAATTTTCTATAGATTTAGTTTTTCTTCCTCTCTCCTCCCATCCTGTTGCTGCAGCTTCTCCCCATTACTTTGTTTGCCTAGAAAGTGCTTTAACTATTTGAGCAACACTACTGGACACTGTTTTTTGTTTTTGGTCATAGAGCTTGAACTCAGGGTCTGGGCACTGTCTCTGAGCTCTTTTGCTCAAGGCTAGCAGTCTACCACTTTGAGCCGCAGTGCCACTTTTGGTTTTCTGTTGGTTAAATAAGATTGTCCTTACTAGTTTTTGGATGATATTCTGAGACTTGGAATTCTATTCAAGGAATAACTTGGTTGTTAAAGATGCTAGTAATTAATTTCAGTCCAACAAAGAAATTAAGCCTATTCTTATGTTTTCAGAATTTAATTTTTTATCTAAATTAATTTATGCATGTGGCTTTTAGTATATGGAATTCTTATCTACGACGATTTCTTCAGAAAAGATACTTTTTTGAAATCTCTATTTGTCTTTTCTCATCATCTCTTCTTTACACCTTTTGCAATTAATTTTTATTTTTATATGTAAATAGGGGGAAATCAGCATTTTACAAAAGCTGAAAGGGTCCTTTGCTCCATCTTCTTTTACCTATTACAGTAATGGTTTTTAGTCTTTTTTATCAGAGTCTTTCACTGGCTTATTTATTTGTCTAGAGATTCAATTCAGTCTTTATATAGATGATTCCCAAGTGCTCTCTTCTGTGCTCTACTATGTGTCAAACAACATTGTGTAATAATTCATAGGTACATCAAGCTCTGTGTCCAGAGCATCACTTTTCTTTCTGAACTTCCTTGCTTTCTAGCATATTTAATCTTAGTGGCTGGTACTGCAGTTCTGCTGTGGTACTTTTCAACAACTTTTCTACCCCTTATATCCAGTAAATCATTAAGACCTATTGACTCTGTCATCTTAATAGTTCTCTTCTTTCCATCCCTTCTTGCACCCTTTTGGTCCAAATCACAGTATATTGAACTCGTACAGTCAGGTTTTGGCTGACTTTCCTGTGAGTGTTCTTGACATCAAATGATCTTTTAAAAAGTATGATCTTATAGGAATGCCTGTCTGATCTTGCCATGCCTCTGATTAAAGCGTTTAGTAGTTTCCCATTACTCTTTGGAAAAAGTCCAAAATCTTAAACATGGTTTAAAAGGCCATGAAAATTCTGACCTGGAGGCTGCATCTCTGAACTGGACATTTTCAAGACTGAATACTAACAGTTATCAGGAAAAATTAAGCTTATACAGAGACTCTTACATAGTGTAAGTAGAGTAGCATGTACAGTCCTGTAACATAGTGATCACCATTGGCACTCCTACCTGTTTAAGAATAAATCTTCAAAGGTAACAGTAAAGTTTGGATCATATAATTTATGCAGATCACCATTTCTAGAAAGAATATATAGTGAAAGTTCACATGCAGAAAGAATATTTGATTTATAAAAGATTTGGTTTTCAAGCCAGGGGCTGGTGGATCACACCTATAATCCTAGCTACTCAGGAGGCTAAGAACTGAGGATCGCTGTTTGAAGCCAGCCCATGCTTATCTCCAGTTAACCACCAAAAACAAACAAACAAACTGCAAGTAGACCTGTGGCTCAAGTGGTAGAGTGCTAGCCTTGAACAAAAGAGCTCAGGGATAGCACCCAGCCCGAGTTCAAACTCCAGGACTGGCGTGCGTGCTCTTTCTCTCTCTCTCTCCTCTTTCTTCTCTCTCTCCCCCTCTCCTTTCTCCCTCTCTCTCCCTCCACACATACACACAAAACAAAATAAAACCAAAGTTTAGTTTTTCAGTACATGCAAAAAGCTATGTATATAAACTTGTATATAAGTTGTAAACATGTTAATTAGGTGTAAAACTGAAGTCCTCAACTTGAGTATTGACATTTCCTTGTAAGATAAAAGTTCTCTATGAACCACTCTTCCCTCATATCTTCTTGAACCTTCACTAGTATTAGTTTTGTCTATAATTTCCTATCATACAGTTTTTCTGCATTAAAAAAAGTCTTAATATAATTTTTTCCAAGTCTTTCCATTTCCTAACAAATGGGTCAATGTCATTCTATCTGATGGAGGCATAGAATTTCATTGTATATATATATATATATATATATATATATATTTTCTTGATCCGTTAAGTGAAGTAAGCCAGGCCCAAGAAACATAGGTCCCACGGTTTCCCTTATTTGCAGTAACTAGTATATGTCTGAGACAAGCAGAAAAGGTCAGATAAGTTGATGTTAGATGAAATGAACCCCAAGATAAGTATTCAAATGTTTTTTTCTTTCATGGGATTGTTTCTAACACATTTATAAGATTATTTCTTTGTTGCTTTGTATGTCCCTCCCCCACAGTATAACCCCTGCTTTCACTGTATTTGGTGTTGGTATAATTTGTGGAGGGGAAGGGCAAAAACAAATTGTTTAAATACGGATACAGGTGGACCCATTGCAACAATGAGATGTACAAGTCATTATGTCAAAAAACGAACGGGGGTGAGGGTGGGGGGTGGGAGATGGGAAGGGATGGCAGGGGAAACAAAGGAGGAGGCACAATGCTTGTTAAGAAATGTACTCATTATCTTGCCCATGTAATTGTAACCCCTCTATTCGGTATTTTCACACACTCAAAAAAAAAATAGTCTTATTTGGGGCTGGGAATGTGGCTTAGTGGTAGAGTGCTTGCCTGGCATTCGTAAAGCCCTGGGTTCGATTCCTCAGTAACACATAAGCAGAAAATCCCAGAAGTGGCGCTGTGGCTCAAGTGGTAGAGTGCTAGCTTTGAGCCAAAGAAGCATAGGGATAGTGCTCAGACCCTGAGTTCAAGCCCCAGGACTGGCAAAAAAGAAAAAAAATCTTACTTGGAGCTGCCTTTGCTGGCTTTGCTGGCTTACACTTGTAGTCTTAGGAATTGAAAGGTAGATATTTTTTAGGGATCATGGTTTGAAGCCAGCCTAATAAAAAATTAGTAAGACTTTGTCTTGACAAGCCGGGCATGGTGGTATACACCTGTAGTTTTAGCTACACAAGACCTACAGCTATAAGACTGTGGTCTGAGGCTGGCTGGGCAAACAGAAGACCACACCTGAAAACTAACCTAAAGCAATAAAAACTAGAGGCATAGTTCAGGTGCTAGAGTGCTAAGTTCCAGAATTTAGAAATGACATTTGGTTAGCTTTTTAAAATAGCTTATTGGCCAGGTGCCAGTGGCTCACACCTATAATCTTAGCACTCAGAGATCTGAGGATTGTGGTCAAAGACAGTTTGACCAAGAAAGTCCATGAGATTGTTACTTCTAATTAACCACCAAAAAAGCTGAAAGTGGATCTGTGGCTCAAATGGCTAGACTTAAGCAAAAATGGCTCAGGGGGGGCTGGGAAGGTGGCTCAGTGGTAGAGCGCTTGCCTTGCATGCATAAGGCCCTGCATTTGATTCCTCAGCACCACATAAGCAAAAACAAAAAAGCTGGAAGTGGCGCTGTGGAGGCTCAAGTGGTAGAGCACTAGCCTTGAGCTGAAGAGCTGAGGGACAGTGCCCAGGCCCAGAGTTCAGGCCCCATGACAGGACCCCCCTCCCCCCCAAAAAATGGCTCAGGGTTGGTAGCCAGGCCCTGAGTTCAAACACCAGGACATGTACACACAAAAAAAATAGCTTTATGGAGTTATAATTGACACAAACATTATGCATATTTAAAGTAAACTACTTGACATATATGTGTATATATATATGTGTGTATATGCATATACATATATGCATGCACACTTCTAAAACCATGACCACAATCAGGATAATAAACCTATTTGGCATAGCACCCACAGGTTTCCTCATACCTCCTTTGTAATTCTCTACCCTCAGATCCTGAAAAACTATGCTTTTTTTTATTACTTCTTGGTCTTAGCATAATTATTTTGAGATTCATTCATGTTGTGTCATGTTTGAATTGTTGGTTCTATTTTATGACTGAGTATTACATGACTTTTAAAAAATGGATTACTGCCACTTACTAATACATTCATCAATTGGTGTATATTTAGTGTGTTTCTAGTTTTTAGCTAACACACATACATAAACATAAAGCTTCTGTGAATATTTGTGTACTTACCTTCTTTTGAGTATATTTCATTTCTCTTGACTAAATGTCTCAAAGTGAAATGATTTATGTATTAAATGTATATTCTGTTTTAATTATTTTTTGCAGTTCTGGGGACCAAATTCAGTAGTAAGTTAATACAAACATATTTTGAAATGTTTCTAAATTATTTTTTAGGCTGGACCAGAATATGGTCAAGGAATGAACCCTATTAGCCGCTTGGCTCAAATTCAACAGGCCAAAAAGGAAAAAGAGCCAGATTATATTTTGCTTTCAGAAAGAGGAATGCCTCGACGTCGAGAATTTGTGATGCAGGTATTTCTAACCATTACATTAAATGTTTCTAAAACTTTCAAAAAGATTTAGAAATTTGTGGGATGGAATAGTGATGTGGGGGAAAGATAGACTAGAACTTGATGGAAAAATGAAACTTTGCAGTTTAAAGCACTCATTCCCTCTGGGCTCACCTATCAGCGTGTTGGAAACATAGCAGTGTCAAGGACAGGTTAGAGTAGACAACATGAAGTTTGGAAAGACTTGTGAGTTCATGCAGGTTATTTACCACAGTTTATCATGTTATGCCTATCTCTTAACTTTATGTGCTACATTTTTCAGCCAGAGTCCATTAACTACTGGGAATTGGAGACAAATGGAATTAGAAACAAAATTAGAAGAATGGATGTAATGGATGGAATAGGGCCAAGAGCATGAGCTCGTGGGCTATTAGGAAATTTATACAAGGAGAGCTGGGCTGCCTAGTAACTGGTTGGGACTGAGCATTACTGAGATGTGACTGCTACATTGCACAGCCAAGAAAACTGAGGGATGGGTTTTGCTTGAGCTTTGGCAAGCAGTTGGGAGATAGAAGCAAGGAAGAATGTCTAAAATATTCTCCTTCAAGACTGGCCAGTTCACTTTAATGGCAAATTAATTGAGAATGTAAGGAAAATCCATGCTGTATGAGGCAAATAAAATTTGTTTATTAATCCTGAAAAAAAAAAGACTGGCCAGTTATCTTCATTTGTCAGTTCAAGTTATAATCTTATAGAAATGTTGCCTTTAATTAAATTAAGTTAATTAATTATTTTTTTTTTTACCAGTCATGTGGGGCTTGAACTCTTGGTCTGGGCATTGTCCCCGAGCTTTATTGCTCAAGACTAGCCCTCTACCACTTGAGCCATAATGTTACTTTGGGCTTTTTCTAAATAGTTTATTAGAGATAAGAGTCTCACAGACTTTCCTGTTCAGGATCCTCAGATGTTAGCTCTGTAGCTAGGATTACAAGGGTGAGCTACCAATGCCTGGCTGCTTTTAATTTTTTTTTTTTTTTGGTCCGGTCATGGGACCTGAACTCTGGACCTGGGCGCTGTCCCTCAGCTCTTCAGCTCAAGGCTAGCACTCTACCACCTGAGCCACAGCGCCACTTACGGCTTTTTTTCTTTTTGCTTATGTGGTGCTGAGGAATCGAACCCAGGGCCTCTGGCATGCAAGGCATGCGCTCTACCATTGAGCCACCTTCCCAGCCCCTGCTTTTAATTTTTTATTAAGAAATATATCTATCCAGTCATATGCTAGTAGCTCTTGCCTATAATCTTAGCTACTGAGGAGGTTGAGATTTGACGATTGTGGTTTGAAGCTAGCCCAGGCAACATAGTCAGTGAGACCTATTATCTTCAACTGAGCACCAAAACAAAAACAAACAAAAAAGTTTGAAAGATTAGTGTTGAGCAAAAAAGTTCAGGGACAGAGCCCAGGCCTCAAGTTTAAGCCCTTGGATCAGCATGTGTGTGTATGCGTGTGTGCATACACACACACACACACTCACACACACACACACACACATCCAAAGGTGGAGAAAGATGAAAGGATTCATAATGTATCTATCACCCCAAACATGGTAGTTATATTATTATTTTTCCATGCCAAATTTAGCTATTATTTCTTCCTTCCCTTTTTTCCTCTCTACTTTCCTGTAGTATTTCAAAGCTAATTTCTAACCATATGCTGTTTTTTTCTTAATATATATTTTTTATTGTATAGATACTGTACAGAGGGGTTACAGTTACATGAGCAAGGTAATGAGTCCATTTCCTATTGAGCGTTGTTACACCCTCCTTTATTTTTCCTCTACCCTCCCTTTCTTCCCCAACTCTCCCTCCCACTGCCCAAAGTTGTAAAGTTTTTCAACATACTGTCTTGTACATCTCATTGTTACAGTGGGGCATCCTGTATCCTTATTTCAGCATTTTGTTATTTCCCTTCCCCTCCCCCAATTAGAAAAATGTATATACAAGATGTAGGACACTGGAATCAAATATAGTGAGAACAGGGGTTGTACCATTGGGGAAGAACATACAAAGAAAAAAAATCATATATAGTACATTCCATTTTAACCTTATATACTTAGTATATATCTCTTTAAAATATGGAAAGTTGGGCTGGGAAGGTGGCTTAGTGGTAGAGCGCTTGCCTTGCATGCATAAGGCCCTGGGTTCGATTCCTCAGCACCACATAAGCAAAAACAAAAAAGCTGGAAGTGACGCTGTGGCTCAAGTGGTAGAGCACTAGCCTTGAGCTCAAGAGCTGAGGGACAGTGCCCAGGCCCAGAGTTCAGGCCCCACGATTGGACCCCCCCAAAAAATAAATAAAATATGGAAAGTTTTTCTTATATTAGACATGCTTCATCAGAATAATCTTAATATCCAATCTATATTTTTCTTTATTCTCCAAAAACTGTTCTTTAAAAAGAATTCCATTGGAAAAAAAAACCCTCACTTTTCATATAGTCTAGATAAAATCAGTATTTTATTAACTGCGGAATATGACATTTTGTCATTCAAATATTCTGTCATACTAACTTTTCATCCATAATTAAGTTTTGACATCCTTCCTGATTTTTAATATATATTTATTTTGTTGATTTTTAGGCTTGAACTCAGGACCTAGGCGTTATCCCTGAGCTTTTTTGCTCACGGCTAGTGCTCTACTACTTTGAACTAAGAGCTCCAGTTTTCTGGTGGTTAATTGGAAATAAGAGTCTCATAGACTTTCTTGCCTGGGCTGGCTTTGATTTGCAATCCTCAGATCTCAGCCTCTTGAGTAGCTATGATTATAGACATGAGCCACTGGTGCCTGGCTCTTAATCTATATATTTTTTAATCTCATAGTATAGCTAATGTAGTTGTTAGTAAACAACATCATGAACATATTATATATATGTCTGTTAGCTTCCTGCCTAACTGAGCAGGCTATTTTTGGAAATAAAGATTTATAATGGGGTCATAGATAAACCAGTGCTGGGAACCCAGATGTCCAAAGTGGGGAAATTCTTCTATGGTTTGTAAACACATTACTGTGTAGCTGTCATTAGGATCCAGACCAGTGTTGTTCTAGTATTTTCACTTGGCAAAATCTATTAATCCTTTTTGCTCTTAGATTCTTAGCACTTGAGATTTCTAGGTTATATTCTTTCACTTCTAAAGACTGAAATAAATCACCTAAATTTTAAACATGCCTTAGGAATATAATCTGTTTTAGCTGTATTAAGTAAGTCCTTTTCTATGATGTTGAGTACCCCCCCTTTTTTTTAGAGGAATTTAGAGCATCTTAAGCCAGCTTCTATTTTATGGCTATTCATAAATATTCTAATCAAGTGGAGACATTTGGCTGTGCTTTTAAATGTTTTCACACTGAATTCATATTTTTTTACCCTTCTGGAAGCCCTGGAGTATTCATTATAATATTGCAGCAACTTTATGAAAAATAAAGGCTATTGTATAAATTCCTTAAGCAGTGTTACCATTTTCTATAACTGAATGTGGAAGAAAATGTCTAGAGATAATACACTCACTTTTACCTATTACCAGAAAAACAGTGAGTTTGTATGTGATAAAATATAGTTACTTGAGTTGATTACTAGATAAACAAGATCTCTGATGACATTATTTGTGTAGTTATTTGCAAAGGAGATTTCTTTTCAAATGAAGTTTGAAAGTTTTCAAATGAAATAATGATAACAAAATTGCATATCAGCATGCTCTATTATTGCATCTTATAATAACTTTTCTACCTATAATTAAGATCTCCAAATTGTTAAAATATGTAAGTCAAATTTTTATCAAATTTGTGTCCCAGTGAAAGATAAGTGTGTTTTTGGGTAAATGTCATTTCAAAACTCTTTCTTAGGCCAGACCCAAAGAAACATAGGTCCCGTGGTTTCCCTTATTTGCAATATCTAGTATATGTCTGAGTCAAGCAGAAAAGGTCAGATAAGGTGATGTTAGGGAAATGAACCCTAAGATATTTATTCAAATGTCTTTTTTTTCTTTCATGCGATTGTTTCTAACACATTTATAAGATTATTTCTTTGTTGCTATGTATGTCCCTCCCCCACAGTATAACCCCTACTTTCACAGTATTTGATGTCAGTATAATTTGTGGAGGGGAAGGGGAAAAACAAATCGTTTAAATAGGGATACAGGTGGACCCATTGCAACAATGAGATGTACAAGTCTTTATGT